CGACAGGGTGGTTGTTACCACCGACGCCAGTCTCTCTGGCTGGGGAGCGCACCTGGGCCACCTCGTGGTTCAGGGGAAGTGGTCCGCATCGGAATCTCGCTGCAGCATCAATATACTGGAGCTGAGAGCAGCGAGGTTGGCCCTCTGTCACTTCCACCAAGAGGTTCGTCGACGGCACGTCCTGCTGATGACGGACAACGTGGCCACCAAGGCGCACATCAACCGCCAGGGTGGCACCAGGTCCAAATGCCTGATGGTGGAAGCGGAAGCCCTAGGCCGCTGGGCGGAGCATCATCTGGAGTCCATCCGCTTAGACCACATCTCGGGCGTAGACAACACCCACGCAGACTGGCTCAGCAGGAAAACCATCAACCCTGCCGAGTGGCAACTCGACCCCGTCCTCTTCCGCCGTCTGACTGCCAAGTTCGGCCTGCCCCAGATGGACCTGTTTGCCTCCAAGGAGAACGCTCAGCTGTCAAGGTTTCTCTCCCGTTTCCAGACTCAGGGGGCAGAGGGGACGGACGCTTTGCGGTGCCATTGGCCCTGGGGCCTGCTATATACCTTTCCTCCGCTTCCACTTCTACCACAAGTAATCTCCAAGATCATGGAGGAGGAAGCGGAGGTGATTCTCGTGGCCCCTCGTTGGCCCCAGAGATCGTGGTTCGCCGACCTGGTCAGCCTGTCGGTGTCTCCTCCGTGGCATTTTCCTCCGGGTCAGGTCTCCCTTCGCCAGGGGGCAGTCGTACATCCCGACCCCCAGTGGTTACAGTTGGCTGCCTGGCACTTGAAGGGGCCTTTTAAGGAGCGAAGGTTTTTCGGACGAGGTAATACGTACCATTCAAGCTGCTCATCGTCCTTTCACGACGAGAATTTATGACGCCACGGGGGGGCCCTTTGCCAGGTGGTGCGAGGAACGGTTTTTGTACCCGGTCACTGCGCCCGTGAAGCGCATTTTGGACTTTCTGCAGGGGGGCCTGGACAGAGGTTTGTCCCCCAACACACTGTGTCGCCAGGTGGCTGCCTTGGCTACGGCCTGGGCTGGGGACCCTTCGTTACCCCTAGGCAAGGTTCCCAAGGTGCACATTTTCTTGAAGGACGCCTCGAATCTGCACCTTCCCACCGTCCACCGTTATCCCTCCTGGTGGCTGTCCATAGTGCTCCAAGCACTCACCGCACCACCCTTCGAACCTATCAGTTCTATCTCTCTTCGCCATCTGATGCTGAAGACGGTCTTTTTGATTGCCATCGCTTCGGCACGTCGCATCTCCGAGCTGGCGGCCCTGTCGATGCGTCAGATCTCTGCATCGTCCATCCTGACAGGGTCGTTTTACGGCTTGATCCTTCCTTCATCCCGAAGGTCAATTCACTCTTTCATAGAGCGCAGGAGGTCATCCTCCCTAGTTTCTGTCCCCGTCCTTCCCACCCTCGGGAGCGCTCGTGGCATACCTTGGTCGTTAGGCGAGCCCTGAAGGCCTACCTTCATCGAATGTCGGAATTTCGGCAGTCCGAGGCCTTGTTCATTTCCTTTCAGCCTGGCTCTCTGGGCAAGAGGGTCTCCTCTTCCATTGTGGGGCGCTGGCTCAGGGCATGCATCGCCTCCGCTTATGAAAGTCAGGCCAGGACGGTTCCTTGAAACATCCCGGCCCACTCAACAAGAAGCGCCGCCACCTACGCAGTCTGGGCCTCCCAGGCCTCGATCAAAGGGATCTGTCGGGCGGCGGCATGGTCTTCGCCTTCTCCGTTTTGTCAGGCACTATAAGCTGGATACCTTTGCCTCCGCTGAGGCGGCCTTCGGCAGGGGGGTGCCACAGGCAGTTGTTCAGACGGATGAGACCCAGGACAGTTCTTCTGCCCGCCCTGATGGACAGTAACATGGGTATGTCCCATACTTGGCCTCTCCAAGCAGTGTGCAGGAGAAAGACCATTGGTTCTTACCTGAAGTGTCCTTCTCTGCACACTGCAGGAGAGTCCAACCCACCCAACTGTCCCGGGGGTGATAGTGCCATCATCTAGTGATTCAGAATTGTGACTCTTGTGTGTCCTCTGGACTTGATCTTGTCTCTTAACAGGACACCTTCACGGACTTGTACTCTACCTTATTGCGACATCCTCACGGACTTGACTACTTCCATTTTTTCTGGAGGACGTGACCACGCAAGGAGGCGTGGCCAGGGAAA